AGGAGCCTGGTCGCGCCGGGCAACCCGGGCGCGGTGGAGGGCGCCGCGGGCCCGCGGGACAGCGGGCTTAGCGAGACAGAGGATCCATCATCCCGGGCCTAATCAGTTAATACTGATAAACTGCCAGCAATAACTGCCAATTGCACCGCCGTTTTGGAACTGCCAGTTCATTCATTTAGGGAGCGCGGCGGCACATCAGGGGAAGCGCTCCATGCTCCCACGTCTTTTCTGTCTGTTCTCTCGGAGGAGAAAATGCATTTGGCAGAGGTGAAGGTCCACCGCCGACTTCTGCCTGCAAAGGGAAAGGAGCACCGGCCCGCTTGAGGGTGACTAAGCGGAGGCGGCCTGGGCTGGCCTGGGTTGGGCAGGAGACACCTCATTCTTTCTCGCGGTGGGCGGGCAGATAGCACCACTTTGAGGATGTCTCGGAGGGAGATGGTCTCCGCCAAGCCACGGGGTTTCCCTGTCCTTGACCAGAAAAGGGATCCTCGAGAGTCAGGCTACTTCCTTAGGCATTGCCATGCCCAGCTGAGTGACTCAGTTTCCAACCCTGGAAAGGAGAGACTGAGCTAGATGGCCTCTCAGGGTCCTTCTGGCTCTGTGGCTTTTCGGAAACCACTTTCTTGCGCTGGTCTGGAGGTGGGGTGGATGGCAACCTCAGACCTCCCTCTTTTCCTCCTCTGGGCAGTTTGAGATTAGGTGCTGTCCAGATGCTACCTCTCTTCCTCCTTTCTGAGCCCCTCCTCCCACCCCGTGTTGCTGTCCATTTTTCTGGGTTGGTTACTGCTGCAGTTTCCCGGCATACTCTGATTCCTACATCTCACTTGCAATCAAGAAACTAAAAATAGAGTAGAAAGGAGCTCTCCAAGGGGGTGGGTGGGTGTGTGCAGAGGATGAAGAAAGTGCTTGGTTCCTCCTGGGAATGAGGACTCATCAGCTCTACATAGGCAGTTAGAAATCCAATCTAGACCATTGGCAAGGGGTGGGTGTGGGGTAGGGAGACTTCCCCATCACCAAGTGGTGAGCCTGAGAGAAAATGGTGTGTGTGTTGAGGACTCACCTGGGAAGTAAGGGTGGGGGAGAAGAAGGGTGACTACTAGATCCTTGGGGATGAGGCCCAGGACATGTCCAGCACAGTGGCTCCCCACTTGTGGGTTGAGTGAGAGCTGAGATCCACCTTGGGGGTTCACTTGGGCACCAGAGGGCCCTGTGTTCTAATTAAGCTTCCTGGAGGGAGCTCCCTATTCTCATTTTTAGCAAACAAGACCCTTGCCAGAAATTTCTTGGTCAGGACCTCAGATATGGTGTCTTTTAGATTGTAAGGAATGGCTGTATTCAAGCCTGCCATGATAAGATTGGAAACTTGAAGACAGTGGGGTTGTGCTAGGATTTGGCCCACAAAACTGAGAGTTGAGTGGGAATCTAGACTCTCAGACATCTGGTACCAGAACACAGGCGAGTCCCTCCCCTGGCAGAGTTCCTTGAAGCTCAGGAAGGTAAATGGGCTTGTGTAAATTACTCAGCAGGTACTGGGGGAGAGAAGCCTGATTCTGGAGATTCCTAGGCTGTAGTCCTAGCTATGTCACTCCATGCCCTTGGGCATGTTGCTTTTTCCTCTGGGCCTCAGTTTCCCCTCCTGTTTAACAGGATGTATTGCATAAAAGCTGTGTGGGTGGGAAGGTGCTCAAAAATTGCAAAAGACCATACTTATAAGTTTCATCTCTCATGTACAAAAAATGGGCCTAGCCTCATCTCCTAAGGGACAGTTCAGAGGGAAGACTTTGTCTCCACCCTGTCTGGTGCAGCCTCCCAGCCCCCTTTCTCACACAGGGCTATCTTTAGGACTCAAGATGCTTCCCCCCCAACCCCCCCAAAGGGAGAAAGGGAAATGGCTGATATTAGAATCCAGAGACTTGCCATGCTTTTGTACCACTGATTCAAATCAAGATACTGTCTGTCAGTCTCCTTTCAGTCTTGCTGAACTCATTCCAGTTCCCTTACCAGGCCCATGGAGAGAAATAGAGAGAAAGAGAGAGATAGAGATAGAGAGTGAGATGAGAGAGAGAATGAGAACGAGCTGGTCCTTGAAAATGTGACTTCTCCAGTGAGGAAGGGCTGAGCTGTAAGGAGTCCGGCCCTACTGTATGGGGGTACCAGCACACCCCCACATGCCCATCCCTGGGTCTTCTTAATCTCATCTGCAAGGCAGTCTTCAGTAAGGCCGAGGGTGTCCTGGGTTGACTGAGGAGAGATGAAGGGAGTCCCGGTTCACAGGGGACACTCACTTCCCTTTCGGTGTTCATCATGTTTTTTACTGCACCTGGGTCGTCAGTCCCACGGTGTCTTCTCTCTCCTGACTGGCCTGGTGACAAGGGCTGTTCTGTGGCACCCCAGGAATGTTTTTGGACCTTTGGGCAGATCAGGAGGCATATTTGGGAAGAGGAGCTCTGAAGGGCAAGGACTTTAAAATTTTCTGTGTGAAATCTATAAGAGCACCAAGCCCAAGTGGGCATGAAGCCCAACAAAGGCTTTTTAAAATTACCATGCACTGTCCTTTCTCTGATTACAAAAGTAATACATATTCATGGTCAAAAACTTGGAAAATATAGAAAAGCACAAAGAAAAAATTCATCCATATTCCACTACCTGAATGCAACCACTATTAATATTTGAGGTGTATCACCTCACTGTCCTTCCCTTTCTTTCTGTCTCTTTATCTCTGTTTTTCAGTAAGAATCTCATGCAGTAATACTTTCTTGTCACCTACTTCATAACAGCATATTGGGAGCGTTTCCCTACACAAAATGTGTAGCCAGGCATCTGGTCTGGGGTTGGGGGCTCTCAGGGGAGATCTCAACACTGACACATTAGGCTCTCTCCCACTTCCAGTGAAGACAGAGGGCCACAAAATCCATTGGCTGGTGAGGTAGCCAGAGAGGCAGGGCAGTGTGCCATCCCCACTGTCCCAAGGATGTCTCGGGATTGTGCCAGTCTGATCCTGCTGCCTCACTTGAGATCCCTTTCATTGCATCAGCTTTCTTCCTATGCTGGTTCTTGCCCCAGCCACAGCAGGCCAGAGGAAGGTAAAGAGAGGGTTAAGTTTCCAGTCACTTGGAGATCAAACTAACAATAGAAATAAAAACGGTTGCCCCATCATTCACTTGGAATAAGGTACAGCTGAGCATCCTCTCCCCAAAAGGGACACACTTGAGAAACTATAATAACAAAAAAGGCAGTCCCCTTTAAAGGCAGAGCTTTAGTTTAGCTAAGTATGGTACGTGTCTGGGGCCCCCAGCCTTTCAAATGCTGAAAAAATTGTTCCAGGATCTTGATTTGGACACTCTGCCCACCCCCATTGCCCATCTGGTCAGCACAGCACACCAGAATCACCTACCTTAAAGCATTCTGACTGGGTCACCCACTTCTGACTTGACAAAAGCCTATCTCCTCTCTACCTGCCCAGGCTTGTTTGTCTCTTCATACTTTGCTCAAGATGCTCTCCCTTCAACAACAATCCCCCCCAACAATGAAAAAAATGGGCAAAGGACCTAAACAGACATTTCTCCAAAGACATATACAGATGGCCACCAATCACATGAAAATATGCTCATTAAAGAAATATGCTCATTTAATCATTAAAGAAATGCAAATCAAAACCACAGTGATATATGACTCCACATCCATTAGGATGGCCACTATAAAAAAAATGACAATTGTTGATAAGAATGTGGAGAAATTGGATCACTTGGTGAGATTATTAAATGGTGCAACTGTTACAGAAAACAGTATAGTGGTTCCTCAAAAAAAAAAAGAAAGAATTACCATATATCCAGCAATCCCACTTCTGAGTATATATCCAAAAGACTTGAAAGCAGGGTCTTGAGGAGATATTTGCACACCCATGTTCATAGCTGCATTATTCACAATAGCCAAGAGGTGGAAGCAACTGAATTGTCTATTGATGAATGTATAAACAAAATATGTGTATGTATACAATGGAATATTATTCAGTCTTAAAAATGAAGGAAATTCTGACACATGCTACAACATGGATGAACCTTGAGGACATGCTGAGTGAAATAAGCCAGTCGTGAAAAGACAAGTCCTGTATGATACTATTTATGTGATGCTCCTAGAGTAGTCAGGCTCATGAGACAGAAAGTAGAATGGTGATTACCAGGGAATGGGGGGAGAGAAAAATGGGGAGATGTTGTTTAGTGAGTATTGGGTTTTAGTTTTACAGGATGGAAAGGGTTTTGGAGATCTGTTGCACAACATGTGAATGTACTTAACATTACTGAATTGTACACTTAAAGATGGTTAAGATGGTACATTTTATGTTATACGCTTTTTACAATATTTAAAAAATAAGTTACTCTTTCTGTCTTCTCTGGCCAGTCTGGCAAGGAAGAACTCTCCCTTTTCAGGACCCCTAATAATGCTTGCATTTTTTATGACTAGGCCCCCAAACTGACCTGTTACCTTTTTAGGTGTCACATTTAAGCTTCCCTTGGAACAAGTTCTTTGAAGGCAGGGATAAAATCTTTTCCTCTTTATTTTCCCCATAGCACCTAACACAGTTCCTCAGACACAATAGCAGCCCAATTAATATTGCTGATTGAGTCGACACTCCCCGTGGTGAATTGTGGACTGTGGGCAGGACGGTGATAGACAGAGAAGAGAGCAAATACAGAGGAGAAGGGTGGAAGGGAGTGCCTGGGGATGTGCATGGTCCCCTCACTGCCTGCACGTGGGTCAGGCAGCTCTTCCGCTCTGGCCGGACGCGCGGTCCTCACACGCCGCTCCGTGTGCACACAGGGGGGTGATGGACGAGCTTTGGGGAGTGGCGAGGCCGCGGGTTCCTCGTCTTCAGTGAGAGTTACACCTAAGGAAACGGTGTTTGGGACAATTTCAGAGGTTTTAGAGTAAAAAATGTTGGAAGGCCTTAACCTGAACTACCCTGCCATGTACCCAAGTCTACTTTTCTTTCTACTTCCTAGAGAAACAGATTTGCAGCTCTCCTCGAGGACACAGAGAAGCGTTTTCCACGCTCCTGCCTCTGCCGGAAAAGTCTGTCCGGACCTCTCCGCTCCAGCGGCCCACAGCACGAAGACTTCTCGGCTGAAGGAGGAGCTGTCGCTCCCTTGCACCATATCCCCTGTGGGCACTTTGAAAGATTGGATTTTAACGGAATAAAGATCCCTGACATGAGCTACCTGTAATTTCCTCTCAGTAGGTTGGTTCCTCTGATAAATTAATTGTCTGGTTCTCTTGAAAAGCAATCTTTTCCCCCAGTTCATGTTCCGTTTTTGACCTAACATGGCCATTCTTGGCCTTTTGAGTGGGATTTGCTTCTAGTCTTGAATTTCCCTGGCAACGCTGGCGGCCATCTTGGAAGCGCTCCCAGCCCCTCGGCGACCGCAGCCCCGCCCCTTTTCGCCCCTTTTCGCCCATTCGCGCCGGGGCGGGGCCCCGCCGGCGGCTGGCCGCGGGCACCCTCGCTCTCAGTTCGGTCCCCGCGGGCGACAGCCCGGGCGACTCAAACTGTTAATGGGATGAACAGAAAATATTGACACATGAAGGACTCTGCCTGTTTTAGTTCCTGGGTGCCTTGCGCACCTGAGGAAACATTGGTGTTTACTTTTTAGTTTCACAACATTAAAAAAAAAATCCTGGGATTGGAGATTTTCATCTTATTTCTGAATCAACTGGGCCTTTATCTCTAAGCAGGGCACCCTGCTAAGCTCTAAGCAGAAGATGGGCCTGATTCCTAGCTTTGGGGATTTGTCTGTTTGTTTAAAGTTTATTGTTTATGGCTGTTTAAAGTGAATCATAGTAAGTTGGAGGTTTTGTTTTGTTTTGTTTTTCAAACACACAACCCAGCTCCGTATCAGTAACTCTGAAAGGATTTCTGTTGGCTGTGGCATCAATTCCAAACTCTGTAACGTGGTACTCAAGGCCCCCATGTCTCTGTCCTCAACTTGCCTACTTGGTCTTAACTGCTTTACTTCCCCTTGGGTTCCTATCCACGTGCTAAACAGGATATTAGCATTTTGTCAGAATACACCCAACATTTACCACCTTTCTGCCCTGTGCCTTTGAACTTGTGACAGCCTTTCTTCCAACCCACCTGTTGAGGTTCTGCTCCTTCTTTAAGGAAGGGCTTCCCAGCTGATGTGTACTGAAGTAATCCTGCCCCTTAGTCCTGAGGGCAGCCAGTTGGGGCTGGAGCCCCTGGAAGCCCTCCTGGTCAGTGTTCTCATGCATGGGTGGCCTTATCAGTTCGTCCCAGTGAGACAACCAGCTGTTATGATTTCCTGTGGGTGCCATGCTATGAAAAGTTTGGGAAGCATTGCTTTGAGCCCCAGCTTAATGCAGCTTCCTCCACAAAGCATCTTCCAGGCCATCCAGAGAGAAGGCTCCATCCCTTCCTCCAATGTCTCCACCAATCCTTCCAGAGTGTCTTACAGTTTGCTTTGTGTCACGGGTATTTATTGCTTTGCTAGTGGCATCCTCCCTGCTTCCCTTCTCCCAAGAATTGGGAGCTCTTTGAGAATTTTGTTTTTGTTTGGTTACACATAGTGTCTAGAACTTGTCTTGCATGTTCTTGGGACTCCTTGAATGTCTGAATCACCTGATTTCTGAATCACCTGGACCTTTATCTCTAAGCAGGGCACCCTGCTAAGTGCTAAACAGAAGATGGGCCTGAATCCTAACTTTGGAGATTTATCCATTTGTTTAAAGTTTATTGTTTATAGCTGTTTCTTGATTTGAAATCTAGAGCTTAGTAACCTTAGATTGTCCTCCAAGCCCAACTGCACTTGCTGCTTTGTTTTTATTCCAGTGACCCCACCACTGTTCAAAATATTCTGGGAATTTCTTTTCTGGAATTGCTTTCAGAGGAGGTTTATGAGCCAAAGAATAAAACTAGTCTCTTTTCTTTAGAGTCAAACAATGTGTATTTAATTTTCATGTTGTAGTCATTGTTAGTAAAAAAATATTTATTGAGCTCCAGGCACAGAGTTGTTTTTTAAAATTTAATATAAACTACTTGTCTACCTTATTGGCAAGATTTGGCTCCAAATAAATTTGATCTTTTTCCAGAAATCAAATCTACCTTCAAAACATTAAAGATTTACTATGTCGGAGTAGATTCACAATAATGAAAGGAAGGAATACAAAACTGCCAAAAAACCCAACCCAAAACAAAACAAAACCAAAAAAACCAAAACAAAATTTAACCAAAGAGCAGTGGCAACATCACTGGAATAAATGCAGAGCCTTCCAAAGTACCATCTTGTGAGGGACATTAACTTAGATCCATAAACTTTGGAGTGCTTCTTAAAAGGACTCAGTCTTCCCAGCATATGTCATACCTTGTACAGGTCTGTGTCATTCAGAGGAGGATGAATCAATATAGTGTGGTTAGATTATGCCACTTGAGGCCAACTGATGCTGTTTATGTTCTTGCTCTATTGCCTTTTAGATGGACTACCTTGGGTAGTTACTAACATGTCTGGTAGTTTCTTGTCTATATAATAGGGGTATGGTATCTATAGGGCTGTTGTGAAAATGAATGTTGATTCTGGCACACAGGTATTCTGATTTCAAAGAAAACATCTACAAACATTTTGCATTGTTATTTTTCTCCTAGAGAATAGAAGGGCTAACAAATAAATTGCTGCCTTTAAATTTTTGGAAACTTAGATTACAGACTGGGTTTTAAGATATTCTGATTCCTGAGAATAGTAGAAGACCTGGCATGTGGTTGCTTTTAATATAAGCTGGATTTCATGAAGACCTTCCCTGAAGATGATTAGGCAGAGAGATAGGTGAATAAAGATGGTAGAGAAATAATTTATTAAGAAACAGTATCCTAGCTTGGCTGAGTACATTAAAGTAATTCCTAACTTCTTCCAGTAGAATAGCTGGACCTGCTGGTAAAAACTCAACTTCTCCAGAAGGCTTTTCCAGAGAAATAAGACTTTGCTGATAAATATGGTCACTTCCTGTGTGTCAGGCACTGCACATACACCCACTCATTTAACTCTGGAGGTAGGTACTTTAAGAGTCCTTACTTTATGGATGAAGGAACATTGGCCCAGAGAGGCTAGCAGATTGACCAAGGTCAGGAGGTTGTTAGTAGCAGAGCCAGGATTGGAGCTATCCTAGTATCTCAGCAACCTCATCACTCTTGACTCCTTCCACATTAGAAATTTGCAAATTACTACAAATGAATGAATTATTACTACACTTATTGTTTTTCTCCACCCCACAATCTAGGTTCTATGAGGTTAATTTTTTTTTGTCATTTTTAATACATAAGAGATGCTTAACAAGTGTTTGTTGAATGAATGAACTTGTTAATTCATTGCAATACAATGCTTTCTAAAAAACTCTCACCCACCTTTTGTTAGAATATTGCTTTTTTAGGAGTTTTGACCTGGGTGACGCTGGGCCTTCTGCCAGCCCTGAGTTGTACAGGACTGGATTTCTGTCATTGTTGTTAGTCAGTATACCAACTCTCTTTCAGAGAAAGCAAATCCCCAGTCTAAAGCCTGTTTGCTGTGGCTGCTTTTCTTAGTTGGAGGCAATCATAAGTCTCCAAAGTAAACTAGTCTCAGGGTTGTCAAGATAAATAATTTTCTGCAGACATGATTTTCTGATTTTTTTTAAGTCAAATGCCTTTTGATGGAAATATACTCATCTCTGCCACATTCCCCTACCCTTATTGTTTAACACACAGCTGTTTAGTCATCTACTTTCCCTCCTGGTTCTTAAATGGAGTTCATGATTCTAGTTTAACTGCATTATTTTCCAGTTGAAGAAACTGATGCTCAGAGACGGGGGTGACTGACTGCTCATGGTCACGTAGCTGGCAGAGCCTGGAATCAAGTGCTGATCCACCTTCCAGGCTGTGTGCTCTCTCTCCTTCACTATGTGCCTTAGGCAGGAGTGCTATAGCTGGTCAGGGATGAGAACAGGTATCATTGTTTCAGAGGATGGTGAGTTTGGGGTGAAGGAATGACAGAGAGGAATTGAATGGTGACAAACACCACTCCTTGTTCTCCACCATCACATAGCCACTGTGTTCCTTGGCAACCCCATCAAATATAGTATTTTCAGCAAAATGGGAGGGAGGGAGGTCTTCTCCCCCACCCCACAAATTCCCCATTGTAATTAGTTGTCAAAAATTTTTAGATGGAAGGGGGAATGCTCAGGTTCTGATGAGATGATACAGCAAAGATTTCATTTCGTCTTGAATTTGACATTAAACTTTAATAGTCTCAAGGACAAGAAGCCAAGAGATATCAGATGTAATGAGATAAAGCAAAGTTTCTCTGACAGCAAATTTGATCACAAATGGGCTCCGAGATTGCTTCTTTGATATAAATGAAACATAATTCATCTTCCAGTGCCCTGAATGGGCTCTCAGGCTGGGGAAAGGCTGGCATCTCTCTTGCCTGGTGCTGACAAGTGGCAGCACAGAGAGAAGATGAGGGCTTGGCTGGATTCTGCCCTGGCAGTTTAGCTGCTCTCTCTGGGAAGAGATGGACAAATAGCCACAGGAGTTTGGCCAGCCATATCAGGAGGTTCCTGCCAGTGGCTGTAGACACCTGCTCTGAGATAGATTTCGACTTGGGAGGTTCTCCTCAAATTTAGAATGGCAAAGAGGGTGTCCCAGGTCTGGACTCTGTGGGAAACTGTCTGTTTGAGAATTTCCTGGTTTGGGTATGAGGGACACACGATAATTTATGTCTGAGCACCCCATTTGTTCTCCTCTGAAATGTCTTCTTGATACAGTTCCTCTCTTTCCATACCTTCTTCTTCTCCTTCTCCTCTTCCTCCTTCTCCTTCTTCTTCTTTTAAATTGCTTTACTACTTCTTTCGAAGTTATCATGTCTCTATTTTTATCCTCACCTGAGAACAATGCTTATTGATTCTAGAGAGACAGAAAGAAAAGGAGAGGGAAAGGGAGAGAAACTTAGATGTGAGAGAAACATTGATCAGTTGCCTCTTGTACATACCCCGACTGGGGATGGAACCCGCTATGTAGGCATGTGCCCTGACTTGGAATTGAGCCCAAGGCCTTTTGGTTTATGGGACAATGCTCCAACCAACTGGGCCGCATAGGTCAGGGCCCCACTGGTTTTCTTAATCTTGCACAGAGTACAGGTGCTGTGGGGTCAGTTCCTCAGAGTTTGGTCAGG